ACGCTTGAACTTAAATCTGCAAGATAAATCCTTGCTTAATTGTAAAGATCCAAGTTCATAAAATATAGAAGATAGATTTTGGGCCTTCTTGCATCAGGGTTCAAGTGGGCTAGCAAGGAAGCTGTTTTTCTACAAAAGTGGACTTTGTATCACCCAGTTTTCTAGTTGCCCATAGCCCACTGTAATGTCCAAACCTTCAGCTCAATTTCCCAAGGTGGATCTTGCATTGTTGCCAATTTCATTTGATTCCTTCGTAACACCAGAAACAATGAGAGATGCATTTCCCATCTGCTTTCCCCCAGATATAGGAAAATCAGTTATTTGCAGCAGTAGCTTCAAAAAGACAATTTTTTTTCTCTTTTATGGTCATATGACAACCAGAATGAGTCCAAATCGGTTTTTCGTGAAAGAAGAACTATCACTAGAACTAGTTATCAGTTATTACTAGACCAAGAATTATTGATTTACCGTCAATCTGGCTGCAAAAAGGGTACAGGCAATAAAATGTCATCTTCATTGACAAGAGATTACTGGTGCAGACATTAAGGCAGTGAACAAAGACTCATGAACCCTTGAATTGATGACGTTAAAAAGCAAAAAAGAGCATGTACTGTATCAGTTACATTCAACAACAGGCACACCCAGGAGGGGAAAGGATTTCTAAACCATTCGCCACACCATAAGCATTTTCAGAACAGCTGTGGAGAAGCTGAATGCTGAATGCAGTAAAGGAGAACAGGCTAAGAGAGAACTAAGTTATGATGGTGTTGAAGCTAATAATATTTACATATGGGATAAAAACTAAAAAATAAAAATAAAAATGACAGCCTCCAAAATTTTTGGGGCGTGGAGAGATATATTTGCATCCTGAGATAGACATTGTTTCCAATTGTGTTTTTCCATCATCAAAACAATTTATAGATTCCACCAGATTTTTCACTGCCTTATTTGACAATCTTCCATGTGCAGCTGATCAAAGGGGTCTCCTGCTTCTGATACCTCTGTCAGATTAGAGGCTTATCCAAGAAGTGACTGGAAAATAAAAATGGAAGATGATTTCAAGAAGTTGCTTCAAGAATGACAGTAACAGTGGGTCGTAAATGCATCCGGTCAAGAAATTACAACAGTGAGATTTGATAAGAAAAACCAGTTTCAAGACTGAAAGAAAATGCTTACCCAACCCAAGAATTGTATTCAATGGTCGTGATCGTGAGGTTGGCAGTTCACTTAACCAGAAACGCATAAACAATGATTTACAAGATAAGAAGGATGCTAGGGCATTGGGAATATTTTGCCACTTTAACAACAATTAAACTTTGTAAAAGTTTCATCATCAAGAAAAATCAAGATACTTTCTCCATCTTATCCTTTTCCAAGCTAGAAAAATCTTGTTTCATCATCAAGGGAACATAACAAGAAGAATCCAGAATCAAGATACTTTCCCCAGCTCATGAGTTTCCAAGCTAGAAAAACTTACGAAATCATTGACGCTTGTATTACTTATAATGTTCACTCACTTGAAGCAATGAAGCCAAAGGATTGCCATAGGTTCCTAAACCTTAAGTCTAGTAGGAGGATTAACAGTCCTCGTCAAGTTGAAGCTCCCAGCGCCATATTTTGGCTTCTGCCTTGGTATTTGGAAAGAACAGAATAAGGTTTCATCCACGCACATCATGGCACCAGCATTATCAAACTCTCCACAGTAATTAGTTACTGAAAATATGGTTACAAGTTGAATATTACCAGAGAATTGAAAGCCATCTTCAACAACCTGCAAATACAATTTGTATTTCCTGAGAAAACGGAAATCCTAGTTGTCTAAATTCAGAAAAAAGTTTCAAATAGAATTTATTCAAACCTGGTGTGCGCTACAAATCAAATCACGATCATGCTTCTTGAGAAACTCTGTCAACCTCTCAGCACCAAAGAGATAAGAAACTCCTCTATCACTCAGGGCCCAGCTTCAAATATTTTTATCAGGATCTGACCAGAGGAGATCACATAGCAACCAGAATCTGGAACATCAGTAGGTCTTGGTAAATTTCTTATCTGATCAAAACTACGCAGATCAGGTGACAGTCCACCATGCATGCAGAGTATCCTTTCATCAATCAAAGCTGCTGTAGGCAGGCAATTGAAACAATCTGTGAATACTTTCCAGAGCCTGACTCGGACTTTTTTCTTGCATTCATCATAGAATCCATACATATGATTTATAGACGCACATTCATGGTTACCCCTCAACAGGAAGAAGTTGTTAGGAAATTTTATTTGATATGCAAGGAGAAGGCATATGGTTTCCAGGCTTTGCTTTCCACGATCTACATAATCCCCCAGGAATAAGTAATTGGAATGAGGAGGGAAACCACCAGATTCGAAAAGCCTCAAGAGATCACAGTACTGACAATGGATGTCTACTATGTCATGTAAATAAAAAGAACATATAGATATATTAAGAAAAGAACATGCTCCATTCCTTGATTCAGGATTAAAAAATACAAAATTATACCTTTCACCAAAAAGAATACTAAGTACCATCCTTAGCATATAATCATAATATAAGTAGGAACCTGAAATTCAACAATCAGAACAAAAGCAGTACAGAAGCCGTAACTATCAAAAACTGGAAACAAGATTCATAATCCATTTTTAGATACCGGAAATTTCCCATACCCATAATCATCATATGAATTGAGAGCTTGAGACAAAATTTTACACATACTAAACAAATAGCACCTTCAACGCATGTAATGTCAAGTTCAAAATTTAGCCAAAATAATCACATTCATTAGAAGAAACAAAATTTCCATTGAGAAACAGTATAAAAAGACAAACCGCAGATCTTCACAGGTGCTTCAAGGTCCAAAGGATTGGGCTGCCTAGAAGAAAGACCTAGAGAGATGACAAAGCTGGTTAATCTCACCCTCAGTAATCTGCGCCTGCTTCCCTGGTTCCCTAACTTGAAGCAACCTATTGATCACACACTATCAATATTGAACCCACATTCCATACCTTCTCCCCTCTTCTCTTATGCCTCAAAGTTCAAAACTTTATATTAGACAATAACTGGAACACGAATTTCGCAAAGCAAACAAACTAGAAAATGGTAGAAGAATATAAGAATAAAAAGAACAACAACCCATAAATAATGTTGAAATAAAAAAAAAAGGGATGCTTTTAAGAGAGAAAGATGAGAACTTTACAATCAAATGAGAGTTGGAAGAATTAGGCAATAGCAGTTTTGGGGGGGAATTCTTCTCTTTTCTTGCTGATTGAGAAAGGAATGGTGACCCTTGAATTGAAAAGAGGGAACGAGAATATATTCTGGTTTGGGAAAGATTGATTGAGAGAATAATGGAGAATTCAAATGGGTATGGGTGTGCGATGAGAGAAAGCAAAAACGTGTACAAAGTGGATGAAGAAATAGGCCCAAAAAACGCACCAGAGCAGCTTACACTTTGAGCAGTGAGAATGAGGCTGAAGACGACTTCCATTCATTGGGGAGAATGGAATAACATAATATGGTGATTGGTGAGTTAGACGTTTTGAAACCACCGGACTGCAATCTGCCTCTTGACGTTTTGATTCGATCGGTTCGGTTAGAATTGAGACTTACATAGTTTGGTTTGGTTTCATAAATCGAATGGAGGGAATTTTAAGGGAAAGTACATTGGGAGGAACTAAATCCGTTGTGCCGTTGTCAAATCAAAACCCTGGCTTCGTGGGAATAGGGAGGCACAAACAGAGGAAACTACATAACCCATGTATGAGGAACCACATTGCATCAACCATGCTTGTTTATGGCTTCTCCATGAGAGGTACACCATGTACCCCAAAAAAGATTTTTCCTTTTTTGCTTTGCATTGCTTTGATTGAATAAAAAAATTGGGTACCATTGAAATGCAATCGAGTTGCTTCCGAGAAAACCCCTTTTGTGGCTTAGTTTTGGGGTAGGAAGGGGTTTTGGATTTGGAACTTAGAAGGTCATTATGGGGAAGAATTAGGTTTGGCTAAACATGTATGATTACGGGAATACTAGTTTTTGAGTTATAGGATTGTTTTCTCTTTAGTAGAAGCAAAGAGGCATTCATGCATGTATATGCAATGAATGGAATATCAAACCTCATGTGTCCAGAAACCCTGCCAATTTCAAGACTTTTAGGTTCAGATGATGTCCTGTCATCTCTCTTAATTCTCCGGTCAATTTGAATTATGTTTTTTGTGTCAATGGATTTCTAAGATAATTGAAGAAATTGCTTTCCCTGAAAATTTGTTGAAACAAATGTCAATTCATTCTGGAATTTTCAAATGTCACACTAGATCACTAGCGATGTCTCTTCTCTGAATACTAAATGTCAATTGCATGCGCGAGGTATGAATTTTATTCTCCTTTTTTCTGTGGTTCTCATTATGGTACTTAACAGATGAATTTTTGGTGCCATTAGGTTTCTTTTTCTGTCAACTTAATATGTACCATGTTAAATACTTTTACCGTGGTCTGAAACCAGTTTGTTTTTTGACACAGGTTGTGTTGAAGTGTCTGGATGTGTGAGAAGTGAAGAACTGGACTGCTGGAAGAAATTATTTGGAGTGGTTAAACGATGCATTCCCTCTCAATATATTATATCATTTCATATTGTGTACGAGTGAGGGATGATTCACATGGTTCAACACCAAAAAATTGTCTTCCCATTGTCTCCTTCAGGTGAGACTCGAAGCATAAATGGGATTTTGCTGGCTCAGTGAACAACCATTAGGTACAACTCTTTTTCAGCTTGATGATAATAGATTTTGTGAATTGAGGATTTATGTTTATAAATGGAACCATTTCTTTGTAATGATACAGAAAATGGTAGGATCATTTGAGATATATGGATACCAGCATGTTTATACAGAATGTATGAGTGAAGATTGAGGCATGATTCCTTTATCTGGCCCCCTGTGAGTTAAACTAGGATTAATTTGGTTCATGACTTCGAGTCAACTTTGATCTAAGGCAACAGTTAGAGACCTCTGTCCAATTGAAGCATCATTGCCAAGTTTAAGTTTTGGCTTCCAGATCCACAATATCCTCTCTTTGAAGCGAGTCAGTTCTTACTTTAATGCCTCAATTGTGTTGGAAGTGGATAAAATTATCAACTCTTGGGGCAGCCATAGCTGGTGCAGAGGAACCTGCTAATTAGTTCTCAAAGAAGGGTGATTGCAAGAAACAGGAAACAGAAGAGAATGACATGCCTGTTTCTCTAAAACAAGCAATAAATCTGAGGAAGGGAGGCTACTGTTTTCTGTGGACGTGACAGAAAGGGCTTAAGCCAGCATCGAAGAAGCAGAAGTTAGTAGTAAGCCTTGTATTTGGCATGTGATGTTTAGTCCTTTTGCATTTTTTCTGCTATATTGATTCAATAATCCATGTGAGAAAGAACAATATTTTTAAATTGATTATGATATTAACTGCTCTAAAAACTTTCAAGTATTGTGTGGCTCTGATCATATCCATAATTTTTGAACAAAAGAGAAAAATGAATATTGTAAATTCTTTTGAATGCATTATTTCAATATCTTCTGAAGGAAAAATTGCAGTTCCTTTAAATGGTCAGCTTCCAGTTTGGGCTGAAGTATCTGGGTTGATAGCTTATAGAGTGAAGAGAATATACCAATTTAGAACATCTTTTGATGCTTATCCCTTGCAAAGGACCTATGATTTCATTGATGGAAATAAATGGTCTGATTAGCATCCGTTATATATGTTTTTTGTACGCAAAATTTTGCTGAACAAGTGTAAATTCAGGGCTCTATTGTGAGTGTCTTTTTTGGCACGGTTCTCTACGGCCACTTTTGATGTTAAATCACATTTGAGCAAATTGCCTAAAATGCATTCTATTCTTTTTTTTTTAGAATTCTTGGTTTTTTGACTGTCATTCACTTTGCTGAAATCCATGATACAATAGATTTCAATTTCAATACTGAGCTTGCGAGAGGCAGCATCTAATGTCAGTTACCATTTGATTCCAGGCTGAAACTGGGTTAAGCCTTTACAAAAATTGGTTGACGCCAGCTTTTCTCAATTCCAAAATGAAAAGATATACTCCTAATAGCAATTGCAACCCTTAAGGATTTTCATCTAGCTGGTGCTTAAACAAGATGATGAGGCAAAGGTAATGTAGAAGTCATCTCCATAAATATGTGAGTTTAATTTATTTCCTGTTTATGTGAAATCTTTTATAATGCTAGATGCAGATCATTTTCCATTTTGTTCTGTTACAGATTGTGGTCTCTGATGCCAGTTTCTGGTATTATCATTTATGCTTGTTTTTGCTTTAAATTATGAGATCACTGCTTCAGTTTTGTTGATTCATGATTGCTGGAAGGTCATTATCTTCTTTAAGTTTATTTAAGTGCTCATTTTTTTCTTGGACAATAGAGTTATTTTCTGCCATTCTACATAGCCTTTTGAAAGTTTAAGATAAACTGAGTTATTTGAAGAGCCATTGTTTGGTTTTCATGAGCAAATAACTTGAGTTCTTGTGAAATGTAAAATCCATTTCATGAATGTAGAGTTTTAAAAAGAGAAAATTAGGAGGCATGATTTAATAACTATCAAAACAGATGGGCTGGGTTAACTGTTTATGATAGGAATAACCAAAGAAGACAAGAAGAATCTGGATACCTTCATATGGTAGTAGTTAGCAGCCAAGAGTCTGGATTTTCTTTACAGATTAATTCTCGTGATGATTTCTTAGATTTAAATGTTACTATTATGTTACGTTTTTTGATGCATTATTATGGTGGAAATCGGAAGATTTATGGAACTCAGTCTCAAGGGATATGCTTGGAGTATTTCTTGAGTGCTTAATGAGTCATCACCAAAAGCAGCTCTTGTTTGGATAAGTTTATATGGGATTTAGATGATATATCACTTTGCTTGAATATCATCTTTAATTACAAATTGTAGCTTATTTAGTATTTATAAGGCTAAATTTAATTTTTCATCTACTAGCTATTACTCTCTTTTCATTTTAGTTTAAAAAATTTAATTTCTTTCAAAATCATCTATAAACTTTCAAAATTATTTCAAATTCATCTATTTAATAAATTTCCGTTAGTGTTTTTAACGGAATCCTATTGGATGCTTATGTGGCACCAATTATGTGATATATATAGTTTTGAAAAATTACACTCTAATCTCAAAAACTTCACAAAATTTTCAATTAATTTTTATATTTAAATAATTCCACAATACAAGTTACTAACTAAGTCCTTAAATGGACTAAATTATAATTAATCAAAACTAATAATAAATAATTAAGATTGTTAGCTTAATTTGTTAATTAATTAAAATTATAATATTATTTTTATCAAATTAAAATTAAAAAAAAAATCTTTTATATGTAAAAATTTTAAAAATGTATTTTCTCTATCTTAAAATAATAAATATTTTTTAATTTATCTTCAAATTAAGGATTTAGAAACAATTTCTATTATTACATATTTTATCCTTAAAGAAGAAATAAAAATAAAGAACCTTTTTAAGAATAATGATAAACAAGACCAAAATTTGAGACCAAAATTTGAGACTAAAATTTGAGATTAAAATTTAGGTTAAAACCCCTTTTTGGTCCCCGAACTATTGTATAGACCCCCCGATTTAGTCCTTAAACTAAAAAAATCCTTGATTTGATCCCTATTGTTTACCCATTTTATCCCAACTTGGTCCTTCCATTAAAAATCGTCCGTTAACTCATAAACATATCAAAAATTTAAGACACGTCAGTTGTACAACTGGCTAAATGATGACATGGTCATACCCAACACAAAAACAAAAGTGGAGCCCACCAAATTACAATTTTGCATCATCTTCTTCCTCCAGCATCTTCTTTCTTGAATCTTCCTTCATTCAGACAATCAATTCAATTAAACAATCAATTCAATATTGAACCCAACAGGTGCCCTTTCTTTTTCCTTCCTCTTCTTTACCTTGCCTTCTTCATCTTAATCAAACAACCAACCCCACAAAAAAAAAAAAAAAAAAAAAAAAGAACAGAAATTTTTTTGCCCCTGGATTCGAAGGAATCCAGTGCCTGGGTTTGAGAAGAAACCTAGCACCTGGGTTCTTTCTCGAACCCAAGGCTTGGGTTCCTTCTCAAACCCAAGCACTTGGGTTCTCGAAGGAACCTAGGCGCCTGGGTTCAAGAAGAAACCCAGCACCTCGAACCCAACGCCTGGGTTCTCGAAAGAACCTAGGTGCTGGGTTTCTTCTCGAACCCAGGCGCTTGGGTTCAAGAAGGAACCCAGGGGTTCTCGAAAGAACCTAGCTCTTGGGTTCCAACAAAACCCAGCGGTTGGGTTCTCGAAGGAACCCAACGGAGACTGCTGGTACAACTCTTCTAGGGTTCAAAGGGGAAGAAGGGGGAGAAGATAGTGAGTTTGGGGTGGCATGAGGTGGGCCCCACAATTTATTTTTTTTGTTGGCTTAAAATCTGACATGTTTTATGACATGTGCCATGTGTACAGTTGACGTGTTACAATATTTTGACATGTCATCATATTCAGTTAATTAACGGGACACCTCACTATATTTTTAACGGAAGGATCAAGTTGGGGTAAAATGAGTAAACAGTAGAGACCAAATCAGGAATTTTTTTAATTCAAGGACTAAATCGAGGGTCTGTATAATAGTTCGAGGACCAAAAAAGGGTTTTAACCTAAAATTTAACTAATGTCATGCTATTTAAAATATTAAAAAGTGAATTTTATATTATTTAATGATTGATTCTTTTTTTTAAGACCTGTGATATTGTAGATAATAATAAGATTAAAGTAAAAAAATATATTTTTTAT